GGCCAATCAGAGCACACCTCGCTTTTTCGGACCGATGAGCTTTGTAAAAATCGACGCGTTTCAGAAAGGCGGGGCATAGAGGAGAAACAATAATGTACAGTATGTGGAAAATAATGTGTTTTTTGAACCTTAAACCGCATAAACACATTGCATTACACCAAATACACAAAATAATGTTCTTTTTAGCAACATCATATGACCCCTTTAAAAGCTGGCCAAGATGAAACCTGTGAATCCTAAAGAGCAGCGGGGGGCATCATTTCAGTTTCAGCCTTAAATCCACCAAGAGATACAAACTGAAAATTATCAGAGATGCTGTAATGCTGATAACATTTAGTAAACAAAAAAATTATCAGCTTCGAAGTCAGTTAAATAGTAATGTAGCCAAGAAATGTTTTGTTTGCTTCCATGACAAAATAGCCAACGAGTCTTCAAGTAGATTATACCCATATGGTGTAATGTGAATTTATAAATTATGGTACGTAACATGGAATCAATTATTGTTTGATTTAGCAAAAAACAAATAATTTAAAATGTTTAAACTACATTAATTTTAACTTTAAAAACAGTTACAGCTAAATGTTTCATCGACCCTTCCACATAGAGTATATAAAGTAAAGTTAAAATTAAAATTAAACTGAATAGTAAAGAACATTATAGTCGTGCAGAATGACTTCTAACATCATTTCCTTGAAGAGTCAACTCAATTGCTCTCAGATGCTCTACGACTCATTTATTCTGTGACACTCCAGTTGGTAAATGTATAGCAATATTAACATTTCAAACAAGACTTCAGCCTGGCTTGATTCTGTCATTGTTTGCTGTAACTGCTGACAACTCTACCTTTGCTACAAAAACCTATTTACCAAATGGCCTGCAAACAATGGATAGTTGGACGGTGGAAGATGTTTGGCTAAACACTCTAGTTTTAGGCCATAGTGACTATTCAGCCAAAAAGAACTTATATTGCAAAAACAGTTTCTATGCAGAAGTTTGTGGTAATGTTTTGTCTCAGAGCTGTAGATCTATGTTGACATTACATTCCAGCTTCCACTTTTTCCATTAAAAAATGGTTTCATTTCTACAATGGCGTTTCAGTGGGCCACAAACATTCACTGTATTTTTAACAATCTAATATCCTTGAAGATATTTGTGAAAGGTAAATAGCATTGCCTAATTTTTTAATTAGTTTAAAAACAAACAATAGATAAAGTCTAAGGTCTGTGGTTGAAGAGACTTTTAACTCAACTCTGGTTTGAGGAAATGTGACTGAAAGGCATACAGAGACTCCATTCAGCATGTTATTGCAGAACCTTGAGTCATGAACTATATAGCTACAAAAAAAAGGAGAGAGAAAGGCATTTACACTGCATAAATGCCACATGCAGCCTGATAATGAATCCCACACAGCAGCACTCTGGCCTCATCAAAGCCGTCACATGACTCTGCTGTCCAAAACCTGCCTTTTATAATGACCCTGCACCTGTTTCACTGCCGAAAGATTCACATTAACCCCATAAAACAATCTCCTTCAATGTAAAACCTTCTTCAGTGTGAAGAACAGTGAAAATCTTCCCGAATATTATACAAGAAGCTGAATATCCATCACTGAATACTTTAAAATATATACAGATGACCACATTCACATGTAGAACAACATACCAATAATAAGAATTTGGTCCCATTCAGATTATGCAGTCATCACGTAAATATTCCAATAACTAGAGAGTAAATAACTGGAGTTTGTATCTTTATCTGAGGTTAATCATTCAGAATAAAGACCTGTATAAATGCATGTCACATGAATCAGTATCTAAACAAAACTTCACCATGTTATTAAGGCACAGTTTGTTAAGTTAATGAGAATCTTTTCTGTAGATTTGAGAGTGGCTTTAATACAAGCAGAAGGCAACTTCAGGAGAGTAATAATGTGGGAAGAGATTACGCTTCACTGCCGACTGCAAACCCCAATCATCTGCAGACTTTGATCACACTGAGGTCAATAAGTACAACATATTGTTGTAATTCAGGTGAGGTAACAAGCAATAACACCAGATTTCAGATGTATCAAAGATGAATTCCAGCAATTCCAATCCCCAAACTACACTGACTTTGTGTTTGTTTCAAATTTTTATTTACATTTGTTATTTTGTTAACGCATGTTACTGGTAAGCTTGTAAACAATTCATTCA